ATATATATATATATTTAATTTTAAATTAAGAAATTAGTTAATGAATAATACAAAAATTTGAATTATAATCTACAATTTGATACCAAACTTACTGACATAAATTCATAAAATAGTAGTTCAACAAAATTTTTGAATACGAGTCAAGAAACACCTTTGAATCGTGTGGATACATACATACAAGTCCAGATCTATGTACGTAGCTTGGAATGGTGATATTAATGGTTATTTGGAAGGTGAAGGAAGTCACCTTGATGGACCAAACTACAAATAAAATCACCTTGTTTAATCATCTGTACTTATTTGTTGCAACCCATAATTTGGTCTTAACTTTATAACGTGCAACTACATAAAATACTATAATCCAATTTTGATATTCTGTATCAAATTTTGATACCTTTTTTTCTTCCTCTTTCTTAGATATTACACTTTATTCAAAAGAAATGTTTATGTATCTTATTTAGAGAGAGACAGCCAGTGATAATTAGACATTTTAGACAGTACCTGCAATTTGTTCCTCAGTCAGCTGATCTGCCTATAAAGAAAGAAAAAACGAAAAGTATAATATCCAAATATGAACAACTTGCATTACAATTCATGAACACTAGTTATGCTTGCTTTTCTTATGCAATTTTAACACAAAACAAATGACTACAAACTACATGGTTATTTAGCTAGTAACATTTTACATAAACTTTGTGAAAGATATATGCATACTAAGAAATTATGAGTTATACAGCTATATTTAACAGACTTTAGTCCAATTCACAAATTACACAATTTTGGAACTATAACTACAAGAAAATTCCTTATTACACAAATGCTAACTAAATCATTCATTGCCAGCTTTTCACTTATAATTTAAGTTCCAAAATCTACCTTTCCCAGCAAGAAACTATTAGCTTTGGAGCCTGAAAATGGATCATGTACTTGTTTCTGCTCATCAATCGGTAATGTTTTCTCTTGTTATCCATGCAAGTTTTTTTTAATAAGTCATGAAACCATTCACAAAACATAAATTTGATTGAAAGTAACTTAAAATGACCTAAGGAAAAAAGATGACCGTATCTGGGTCTCAAGAGTTAAAAAGGGGCCTCTTAAGCTATAATAGTATTACAAAACAAAAATCCTAAAAATTAGTTAAATGATCAAAAGTTTAAAAGAATACAATAATAAGGCAATGTAAAAAAAAAGTTAAAACTACTCTTCAAAAAATTAAATGGCTAGTGGAAGTATTTTCTATGAAACAGTTGTGCACATTGGCAGACCATGAACAACAAACCACAAAATGTGTTTTTCTTTGCTTGATGGAAGATAGAGTAACAAAATGAGGTTGTGTTTGGTTGTTTATTAGTACTTGTGGAGTTGTGGTTTGTTTTTAAGCAGACATGTCAACTCTCATGATATTGATCACACAATCTCACAGCTAAATGTGCTAAATTCAGTTTTTTTTAAATTCCTACCACTCCCAGGTCAGATGAACTTGAGTATATTTTTTCCCCAGGAAGATAGCAATTGTTACAGGAGACCTCTAGAGCTAATTGGCTATAGCTAACAATGTCATTGCACATGGGCAATGTTTATAGGTCTAAAAAGTGTAGAGGTGGAGTTGATGCTTCTGTTTTTTTCACATGATTTGGAGGTAAGGAGTGCAAAGGTTTTATTCCAAGGTAAATAGCTTAGGTTACTTCTGTAACACAAAATAGGTGTGAGAATAGCAAAGTACAAGTGAAAAATGTGTTATTTGGCATTTGTGATACTTACTCCTCCTATTATATTTGTTTTGTTATTAGATGAAGAGTGAGCTGGATTTATGGTATATTTTATACTAAGCTGTAGTTTTTTTGGTACTTTTGGAAAACGTGGTGACACATTAAGACTCTCAGACAGTGATGCAGATCAACACAGTTCTCCAACGTGGCAGAAAACTTGTGATGAAAGGACAAATCATACTGATGCTTTTTAAGTTCAAGACATGATTCAACAAAGAATAGAGAAAGACATGGAAATTTATTGCTGCTATACCAAAAGATACATATAATTTAAGGTGTAATGTGTGTGGAAAGACTACAGCTATTGGTCACCAAAGAGCAGCTGACATACGCAGCCACAATTGCATACCAAGTTGGAAAAAGCTTCTGTGACACAACCAAGACTTGTGTTTCAGTCTTCAACTCCCAATGCTGACAAAATTACATGGGTAGAGGTGAAAGTTTTTGCAGTACTGGTCCAAACCAATGCTCCATTTGCCACAGCTGATCAACTGAGCCCCCTCTTTAAGGAGATATTTCCAGATTCTCAGATAGCTTCCAGATAAGCATCAAAGAAAATGAAAACCACATGCAACTACTGTCAACGAGGCATTCAACCAACATTAAGTCAAAGTTAGTTGAAGAAATGAAAGCAATGCAATATTTTTTAGCAGTTGATGGATCCAATGACATGGGGCTGTTTAAGTTGAACCCCCTAAACGTATGCATTTTCTCTTTTGATAGTGTTTATTCAGCTGCTTGACATGTGCATGACCAAGAGATCCACAGCTGAAGACATTTAAGAAAATGGATGAGACCCTAGAGCAGCTTAACATTTCATGAGACAACCGTGTCAGTGTGGACAATACTTCTGTAAATCTGGGAAAGATAAACTCAGTCATGACAAGGGTAACCGAGAAGAATTTGGCTGTTTTTTCAATGGCTGTTCTTGTCATATTGTGCACAACACTGCTTGCAAAGCTGGGGATGCATACACTAAAACAACATGTATTGATGTTGACGATTTCTGTGCAGACATCTACTACTAGTTTGCTAAATCAACAAAGAGGAAGCCGTCTCTAGAATAATTTTGTACGTTCTGCGATACAACATATACAGGCATGATCAAACACATATCAACCAACTGGCAAAGTCTAAAAAATAACAATTCCAGAGCATTACAGAAGTTTGTTAGCCTCCAAAGCTATTTCCTCAGCAGTGATGACAGCCAAGCGAGACTCAGATGCCCGTAGCAACAGTTTGAGGATCCCTTGATAGAAGCGCATCTATTTTCTATCTGTCTGTACTAAAGTAGTATATCCGTGTGAACAAGTTTATGCAGTTGGAGAACCCATTGATCTCAGTTATGAATGATGTATTGCATGACTTTCTGAGAAAACTTGTCTGCCAATTTCTAGATGTCAGGATGGTGAAAGAAGTAGGAGCAGAGTTGATAGACCTTGATGATGACAAGACCGAAAAGACTGATGAACATTTCGACATTGGCTTTGCAACAAAAAATGCACTCCAGAAACTAATCAGTGATGGATATGACACAAATAAGATCGAGTGGTTCTACCACGACGTTAGATCCTTTTATGTGGAAGTGATAAATTATGCAAGAAACCTCTTGCTACTAGATAACTATGTTCAAGAATGCCAGGTTTCTCAACTTTGTGAAGAGAGAATCAGCTAAACTGTCTGAGCTTGAATACTTCATTAACAGGTAGCCATCTCTCCTTCCTTGTAGCAATGATTCAGCAAAAATAGAACTACTAAAGGATGATTTCATACCAGCTGCTAGAGCAAAGTGATGTACCAGCAGATGTGTGGGAAAAGGCTGCAATATGCATTGAGGACACCGCAAAATCAATTAACTCTTTCAACCCAAGCTTGGTTCCCGAGACCGACCTCATAACCATTTTGTACTTGTTACAGTTTTCATGCTATAACTTTTAAATTAGTATGCAAATGTAAACAATATTTGGCAGTTTATCAGTAAACATAACAATGCTTTCATATGCAAGATATCTAATTTCTTTTTTGTTAAGTCTTTAGGTTTGTAAAGAAATGATTCTCTCATGCCTTTTTTTCTTTTTCTTTTCACATCTTGCCTATCTATCATGCAAAGTAATTTTCATTTTAAGATTAAAAATACTTTTATGCATCAGAAAATTTTGAAATTTCACATTTGAAATCCTTATAATGTCCGGATAGTTATGAAACATTTCTTAAGAAAATTTTTTATATTTTATCTGTTATTTTCAGTAATTAATCTCTGTACAGGTTTGGTAAATTTGACTGATTTCGCAACCACCATAAAAAATTAGAATGAACACAAATTATAACACGAAAGCATAAATGTTTAGACTCAATAGCTTAAATCTCATAACATTATAAATTTTTTATATATATATTTTTTTTTATATTGACCTTTCAGCCATGCCTGGCTAACAATACAGAAGTTACAATGATGAGGATCACATTCACTCATGTTACTGTATCAAATAACATAAAGGTGACCTTTGGTCTGTACAAAGTAACTTGTCTTGGCTGCATTTTAATAGACTAGTATTTTGTAAAATACAGTCACATTTCAGTGTATCAAGATTCCCAAACAAGTTTAAGTTATTGTATCTACAGAAATCAAAAATAGTCAAGAGGATGGAAGAAAGGAACTCGCAAGAAACTGCAAAATGAACTGCTGCAAGACAAGCTCAAGATGGGAAAAGAATAACTAGAAGAAGAGCACAAGAGACATCTGATGAAACTGGTGCCACACAAGAAGGAAATCATGTCAGAATGACAAGAAAAGTGAAAGAATTAGTCACAAAAGTTGCTGTTAGAGAACACGATAGAGAATAATGAAGTTCAAAGAAAGGTTGCCACTACTGAATGGAGATCTAGAATCTATTCGGCAAAATTGAGTTGCAGCCTTTGGGAGAACCATCACCATCTCTTAATGTACTCCCTCAGGGAAATACTGAAGAATCTGAAAACATCCTAACCAATATCTGTATACATAAAGCACAAAAGTCTGTGTTTGTCTGTCCATTATCTAACTACTACTAGGTTGCTGGGCCAATCTCAACCAACCTTTGTGGGATGAGAGTTTGGAACAAAGAGCATGTTAATGGGAGGCTCATAGCCCCTCCACTCCTATTTCTAATGTTATTGAGTACTTATTATCTTTGATGTTAATTAACATTAACTATATTCACAGATGATACCACATCCTTACACCAAAAAAAAAATTTTTAGAACACAACATATATACAGTGTGGGGGAGGGCACACAAACATTTTATATACTTCAAAAAGTGCACTAGAACTCTCTATGGAGGAGTGAAATTACAAAAAATGGCCACCACTATTGCAATAATACACAAACTCAGCTAAAGTTTCTACTCCCACAAACACAATAGGGTTGATATGAAGAGCCATTTCTTGAGTTCTACTCATTTCCAATTTGACTCGTGACCTTTCAATTTCAGCTCATAAGACATTTCTGCTGGCAATGACCATCAATTAATCAATAACGTGAAACACTTTGGAAGAATATTAAGAGCTGGGTGTTAAAAATGGGTAACAGAAAGCACACCTACCACCATTAATTTGGCTGCTACCACTTTCTACAAAGTCACAACCACTGCACAGAGTATACCATATATAAGAGTTCTTAAAGCTTATACAAATGAATACTGTAATACGTTATATCATAAATAAGTTGTGTGAAAGTTAGGATTTTTGTATTATTTATCATAGCATCCACCCCCACATTTGTAAGTTCTTAACCTGGACAAAGGACGGGTTCCTCAGCTTGTAATGCTACATTATCCATATACTTACTAGTTTTATTTCTTAACAGCTGAGGGAACTGTTAGAGAAGCAAAAACTGTTTAAAAGACAATGTTGGATGATGTTTCACTTCCTTATTTCTATGCTAATTGCATACTCTGCTTTAAGAAAGGTAATCACTGACTCATTTAACTGATTAAGTACTTTTGTTTTTAAAGTCAAAGGCAAAAGGCTATAAAAAAAGTGGAAATGTATCTTATATTAGGATGCTTTTTTAGCCCCTTTCTCAGGCAAAACTGCTAAAACAGAATAGCCATTTACACAATCTAATAGTTTCCAGTTACCGTAAAAAAAAATGGTAACGAAGCTTGCAAGAATGAAAGGGTCCTTTGTTGTCCGTGTGTTATGATATAGGCTTTAACTTTTTCACTATGGGCTCAATCCCAGGGACCACCCTCATAACCCTTTTGTGCTTGTTTTAGTTTTCATACTTTAACTTCTTACATAATATGCACATCTTCATCAAATTTTGCAGATTACCAGTAAACATTACAAGGCTTTAGTACACAAAATATCAGATTTTTTTACAAGTTTTAAGATTTTTTTAAGTAATGATTTGCTCATGCATTTTCTTTTTCTTTTCAAATGTGGACTATCAAACATACAAAGTAATTTTGATTTCAAGTTTAAAAATATATTTAAGCATTAGAAAATTGTTAAACTTCACATGCAAAATCTTATAACCTTCAAATAATTATCTTTTTTAGAAAAAACTTTGTACATTTTTTCTATTATTTTCACTATTACATATCTGTCAATTTGAACAACCTCGTAACCAACTTGAAAATTTAGGAAATAGATGTAAATTATGATTTTTTTCATTCTAGAATGACTACATATTATAACAATAAATCACCAATCTTTAGTCTAAATAGATTAAGTCTCATACAATTATACATCTACATATATTTATTTATTTTTGTAATAGGGTGTTTGAACTTTAAAATGTGTTGCCTTCAAATATTGTGGAGGCAATAAATTAAGTGAGTTTAAGAGAAAGCATGATGAGTATATGAATGATAAGGACTGGCTTTAAGATTATTTTTTTTTTTTTATATATATTTAGTAATAGTTTTAATTTAGTGTAGCGAATTGAACAGCTGAAATGGACCAATAAGTCCCACTTTGTCCGAAAATGTTATGTTACTTTTTTTTTTATTTTATTGACCTTTCAGCCATGTCTGACTAACATCACAAAAGTTGCAATGATGTGGCACACGTGCACTTAGGTTACCACATCCAATAGCACAAAACTGGCCTTTACAAAGTGACCCATCTTATGTTTGTTATAGTGAACTAATATTTTGTAAAATAGTCACATTTTGGTTATAATACATTACATACACACATATATGTTATTACCATTTATAAATAAGTTCTTAAATTTTAGTTATTCTTCTTAAAACATAGAATAGTAAATAAAGAAATATAGAAAACAATGATTATTTTCAACATAAAAACTTTGTACTTGCTTGCCCACTTGCTAAGCTTTGTCAAATTTTGCAGATGGAGGATGTAAAACAAAATTTTTTTTATATGTTATATATGCATTTTATATAACCAAATATTAAAAATTACTCTATCAGTCTTGCAGAAATCCACTGTAATTTATCAGGCTTACTAACTAAACTGTATTTGGGTAAAAAAAAAAGGTTTTTCAGACAACATTTTCACTTAGCTCTTCCTTCCGAGATTCAAAACAAAGAGATAATCTTGAGAACTTTCCACCTTATAAAGGCTAAGAAAGCCATGTGGAGGACATTATGAGCATTTAACTGATCATTCACATGTCAGAGATAGAAGTAGGTGTATGTAAGCAAGTATTTCCAAAAATGAAAGAGGTAGGCATGGCCCACTGTGTTTGATTCACTAAATGTAGCGATATCTCAGCAAAAAGAAGAAATAGGAGGTTCTTATTTTATATTCTAGCTTGTCAATATTGGCAATTGGAGTTTCTAATTTATATGAAGCTATAGACTTTATATTTGGACATCACAAACACCTAATTAAGTAATTCAAACCAAACCTGCATTGAACATGCCACTTAAGACACAAAAATTGATATTTAGTAATTTTGTTTTAATATCTACTTTTAAATTACTAATGTATAATACTAAAATTTTAATTATAATCTACAATATGATACCAAACTTGTTGGCATGCATTAATAAAATTTTGAATGCAAGTCTACAAGCATGATGACATGCCCTTCGACCCCTGACCATAGGAAGACCCATAGCAAGAGGGTTAAATATATATATATATATATATTTAATTCTTAAATACCCAAGACTAGAATAAAGACGTAACCAGATGGAAGCTTTTAACAGAATAACTCCATAGTCACACACTATCATCCTATGTACAATACCAAAACTAATCCCAATTACTATCATTTCAATAACAAAGAATTTTACAATTTTTAGATTTGAATAGTTCTGAATATACTACATCTCATCACATAAAAATTAATAACTAACATTAATATTATGAAATTTTTATAACAATCTTTGGGTTGTTTTCAGGAATAAAAATTTTACTTTTATGTTCCTTTTCACTAGTTTTGTAAAATGACAATACTGAAAAAAGTAATTAGTTCAAAAATAAAATAGCACCTTTTTTTGCTAGGCCAATTATTTTAGTGATTACAATGTTTTGGTGCATTGTATCCGATCGCCAAAATATAAGAGTTGCATTCAAAAAGCCACTTGAGTGAAACTCATACCAGGATTGGTATTATTACATACAACTTGCAAGTTGTAACTTAATCTTTAACTTTAAAAGTTTAAACAAGTTTATCTTTACTAAGAATTAGTTTAATGCCATTAGGCATTACTTTAGACTTACTGTTACTTAGTATTATTAATACTAGTAGTAGGAATAATATTAGTACTATTAGTATTACTTAGTATTAGTAATTTTATATAACTATTCGTAAATTACGTTTCTCAGAATAATTTATAATAACAGTCTGCCAAACTAAATCATAAATGTACAGTTAAGTTAGAAATGATACTATTTCTAATACAGTTTGATAAAATTATGATATTTCAATACATACCATTTTACTTTACAAACTTTTGTTTCCACCAAAGCGAAACCGGTACACAAACTCAGTTTCCACGAAGTTCACAAAATTCTAAATAGAACGAAAACGCTTATGATACACTGAGAATTTTGTATTCATACACTGATTAAAAATCAAGTATCAATCATTGAAATAATTCTTAATTTTAACCATTTATGGAGACTTTCCTTTTCTTTGATGCTTTTAAGATTCGCAATAATTTCTAGTGTATTTCTCTCATCCTTTTTATATTCGAATAAAACAAGGAATTTTATTTCAATGCGGAGAATCCTGGCGGTAACAAACTCGTGGGTGCGCTACATCCTACCAGTTGTGACGGCACTACAGAATAGTCCTTTGCTTAAGGTATGACGATTGGTTCTGTTCTACCTGCAATGCGTACGTACGTACAAACATGAGCTCATGCAGATCAAATGTTAGAAAGAGAAGTGGTTTCACGAAACATTTTATTGTTTATTTTACTTATATTTCGTGTTTTAATATTTTATTAAACTATAGTGGCATGTTTTGTAAGACATCAAAATATTGCATTGTCCTGAAAAATGTCCATTTTGGTGAAAAATGATAATAAACTTCTTCATGAGAATGTAGTGTAATGTCCGGAGAACCCTGTGACAGTGTCAGTAGCCAGCAGCCTATCCCTATTTGCTTGGCGGTGAAGTTGTATATATATCGAACAGGCTGAATTAACATTACAGAAAGATGTATTTTTTTGTCTTTTTATATTTTAAGGCTCGTAATATAGAATAATGAAGATTGGAAAAGAAAACTAATATTACTACTTGTCCACATTAATATTTGGATGTAGTTAGTCATAAAGACGCTTATTTAAATGATTACAATGTTGCAGAAAGCTAAAAACTTTAAGTTGGTGTTAGAGAGTGATATGTTGGACACTATTTTTAACTGTTCAGTTTATTGGTTTAAGTCTAAAAAATTTTAAATGCGGCCCATGTTCTTTAAAAAGCAGCTATGAAATTCTCACAGTTGTAGTATCATCATGAACAAAGTAATATATTCAATTACGTTTAAAGAATTCTACTGAAACATATATGTTAGATTTAGTATTTTATAAAGAGCAGTTTCATAATTATTAAACCAATATTTTTTTTCCGTTAGACAATAGTATTAAGCTTATTGCCTTTTTAAAAACTGTATTCATACCTTAGAATCTTTCAGGGAACAACGTATAATCACGAACATATACAGAGGGATTTACTAGATATGACAGACCAGAGCCGTAAATAAATAAGAGTTTGGCCAACTAAAGTTACTAAACAACAGGCGCCGTGTTCTTACCCATTGTGAGCGGGATCTCAAGCATATTGTAAACTACCTGCATAACACGGCTTTGTTTGCCTTAGACACAAGTTCATTTTAATTACAAATTGATTCATTTAATTGATTAAAATTACACACCAAAGATAATGTAACTGATTTCTTTGTATTATTTCAATTGTGTGTACTTCTGAAGGCTGCCTTCACTCGGTGATTGTCTTTGTTCCTTTGCAACTTCTAAACAAGTTGAGCACAAATTCTTCCTTTTTTTCACTTTGGCGATTCAGTAACTGGCTAAGTTGTACAAGCTGTTTTGCTCTGCTTGGCTAAGTACTGGGTTGTGTAAAGTCTTTGTTTGTAAAGAAGGGGGGGGGGAGGTGATGCTTCACAGCCTCACATGTACCATAACTAGCGGAATATTTTGGTTGTGAGTAATCTTCATCTTCAGATAACCTATTATAGTAGTGTTACGCCTCGGTTCGTTTGTTAATTTTCCGTAAAAAAATTTTCTGGAGAAACTTTGGCGATACAAGTCCTTTCTTAAATAAAACTGGTTTATTCTTTCTGAATACAACTTTGCAATACACTTAATTTCCACAGCCACGCTATAACAAACGCTGTAATTCGCAATGAACGACTCACGCGCTTGACTCAACTGTCAGTATCTATCTCTGTCTGCTATTCAATTACACATTACATTGTTGCCGTCACTTCTTATCGGTCTTATATATACAAGAATACCGCATATCTAGTAACCTCTCGAGGCTTCAGGAAGGGACGTGAACGTTCGAGAATATGACGTATTACTAGCGTCACGTGACTCCCGCTGTCTTAACAGTAGGAATGTTCAAGTAATATGCTATATTGCTCAGATCGTCTGGTTTCGTATTAACATCTATGTATTCGACATCTCTTATAGAAGGTTTATGACGTTTTACTATCTTGGTAGAAGTGAAGACAAGCTATGTTGGCAACGCATTTGGTTTGAGCTTCTTGAAGATATCAGCTCTTTCAATTTCATATTGGACCTAATCAAAATGGTCCTACAGGGAATAACATAATTATTGAAATTCCAAATGAAGGTTTAAAATATATAAAGAGGTACAATACCCAATTTAGTAAAAACAACAACAAAAAAACATAATAATGAAGAAAAAGCTAGGCCTACTCAAGAAACACAAAAAAGTTATCATTTACTTTCTAGGTTTTACGACGAACTTTTATTTCCCATTTCTGTCTACGTTCTGGATCTTGAGGGAACCTATACATCATTTCTCCATACCAGATCAGTTTGAAAATCCCTAAGCTAAACAGCTCCGCATTTTTTCAACAGGAATTATACGAATTGTGAGTCAGATGTGTTTATGACGTTCACTAAACTGGGTAACAACATGGTGCCTTGCTGTCATGTGGGCGCATTCTACCCATTCATACCCTGACTCTATTAAAACCAGGTTGGTCAAATTCTCTATATTTACGGCTCTGTGACAAACTATGTGTTATCTGAATATAGCATGTGTTTCTGTCTTATTGTAGTGTTGTACAATTAATTCTGAATATATTTTTTGATCCGAATATATATGCATATTTCACTTAATACTGGTCAAGAAAACCGTTAAGTTGATCTTGCTTCAAGTTACCTTTGTTTCTTTGTCATTCTCGAGATAAGTAATGCCCGTTACCGCCCATTGAAAACATTGCTTAATGCAACCTTGTATAAAGATGTCGACAGGAATGCACCTTAACGATTGTTCGGGCGATATGTAGGTCCCATCTGTGTTGTAATGAGAAAGACCGGTCAAATTGTAGTGCATGTCACACTGGGTAGATGCGAGATTTTTTGAAACTAAAAAACCTTAGAATTGGCAATCTGTTCTGAAACATCATTGAACTTAGTCCTGTAGAACTAAATCGTCAGTACTCAGTCCAGTGATCCAGTAAAAACAATAGTCTGACATAAGTAAACTACAAATGCACACACACTGTGTTTAGACTTGAAAAATAATTGTTTATTTCGTATTTCATTTTGTGCCCAGTCTCTTTACTTTATTTCACACTGACTCACTTAGTAAGAGATATATTACTAATCCATAATCAATATCTTATGTGAATATCTTGTTATGTAGTGAACCTATCCAATACCTCAAAAGAATATTCAGTTCACCTGAGTGGATAGGAAAGGGAAAACTATGGTGTCATGACTGCAGGATACTGTTATTGAGGAGATTACTATACCAGCTGAATTGCATATTACTCTTTATTTAAACTCTTGTGTTATTAAGTTTAAAGATGATCTATTTTTGAATAAATGAATTTTTTACAACTTGAATGACTTGTGAACATAAGCAAGAGTTGATTGCTTCTGGAAAATTATTGTCTGAGAGAGTTATCCGGTCTGGAAGAAGACCTCTCCTGGATAAGAGACTTTTGACAATGCAGCAAAGGTTCATGATTTCTTTCTCACTGCTGCAGCAGACTCAGAAAAAACTAGCAGAATATGCTGCATCTAGAATGGTTGATTGAGTCCTACTCTTGTTAACCTACTTCAGTGTGAAGGAAACATAAACTGAGGATTATCATAATAATTTGTGGTATGATGAGTCAGAGACTAGGTGGAGTAGTATGTATAAGACTCCCAGACTTATACCAATCAGAATGTTTCAACTCCAGTTCTGACTGAAGCCATTTGGATATAAAGTAAGCTTGGAAGCACCATTGATGAACAATGTCCACCAACCAGAGCCATCTCACCAGCAAGTCACCAGTCTCAAAGTGAGTGGGTCATGGGACATTAGGGAGCCTGTCTCTGAGATTGGAGGTATACTTCTGATGTAAATGAGGAGCTTGAGGTCGAGTAGAATCAATGGAAGAGCTGTCTAGAGCATCTCGTCATTCTAACACCTGAGATCACGGGCCTACCACTCGTCTGGACCACTTCCACAATAATTTCAGGATCAGGCACAGCCTACTCCCAAATCCATTCATTATAGATAATTACTTGCTCAAAATACCTTAGGAACTGCACTCCTTTGTACTTCAGGAGTGTAGTGTTCTTGGAGTTCCCCACAGGGATTTCAAATCTGAAAAAAAGATTCTGAATAGTAGAGTCAAGTAGTTTATTTCTACCAATCAACACCTTCTGGGACATAATATTTCAAAATTTGGCACGACGCCTAGAGAGGTCGGTTTATCGTGACTGGGGGTCTTCAAAATATAGAGTTTTGAGGAATCTGTCCATTCAAATGTCTGAGTCTGTTCACAAGTGCATTCAACATTGTAACAGTTTCTGGTTTCCCGCCAATTTAAAAATGTGATCATACGAAAAACAGTGCATGACAAACGGGAATGATTTTCCTGACACCTTTGGGAAATTGGGATTATAGCTTGCAGTACCCCTATAGAGTCAATTTAAGTCTCCTTTAGGTGTAGGATTTCCTTGCAAAGGATTTGTTTGTTTGTAGTAAAGCACAAAGCTATACAAAGGGCTATCTGTGCTCTGCTTACTTCGGGTATCGAAGCCCGGTTTCCGCTCCTGTATCCACTACTGACAGACACATGTTCAAAGACGTGATGTAGCTCTCGCATTTTCGTTTCACGTACAGTTCTAATCACTCAATAATATTCCATTTAAGGGATCATATGAAATTCTGTACATGCCTCAGTAACATTTTTTCTGTAATAAATCTAGATCTATCACAGATGACTAGAGCCGCATGTGTTTACAGATTTTTTTTTAACGCCCATCTCAATGTTGATGCAGGAGTGCATATATTTTCTAATGCAAGTCTTTTTTTTAGTGTGGTGGGCCTTAATCTGGCCCTACATAACAGCCTGTGTTAAAAAAGCTCTTTATACTCGAAATATTTCTGAACCGTATAGTGATGGAACAGGATTTCTCTGTGATATAAGATTAAATAC